TTGAAGTTTAGAAGGTTTAGAGTTGGAGAAAAGAAGGAGAAAAGTTGGTTTTTCGGGAAAAACGGGCGGGGCGTCGCGCCTGACAGCGCGCCCCAAAAGGGGTTCTGAACTTTCCCCCTTGGGGCGGCGTGCCTAGCAGAGCGCCAACAGACCCCTTCTGAAGTTTTAGGGCTAGCGCCCCGCGCCTCTCAGAGTGCCAAGGACGCCAACCTTTCCCGTTCATTCCCCACTTTTTCCTGCATGTTCCTTGGTAATGTACCTATGTTTCATAGTTGTTTTTGACACTCCAAGGTACGTCTAAACGTCAAGAACTCATCCATGATATGAAGTCAAACACCTTGAATCCATAAATCCAATTCAAGGAGAGTTAGTTTCCAAGTCAAGTGAAGTTAAGAGTTAAGCTTAGGAGTAAAGAAGCAAGTCAAGCAAGTCTTTAAAGTTGTTCAAGAGTCTTTATTGAACGTTTTAACTTCAATTTTAAGGCTCAAGTTTCAAGTTAAGTAAAGAGTATAGAGTTTCAAGTTAAGCCTAGAGTATTAAGTTGAGTTCATTTCTCAAGAGTTATTAGGGAACTAAGTATTCCCAAAGAAGTTTTAAAGAAATGTTTTCACATTTAAAACAAGATTGGAAACTGAGATTTCCAAAGAGCCTTCGGGCTAGTTTTCAGAAAAAGAGTAATCGCTTTCTAAATAAAGCAAGAGAGATAACTGAGATTTCCAAGATAGCCTTTGAGCTAAGTTTTTGAGTAATTATCTCAACTCAGCAGGAAGAAATATGTTTTAAAAAACATAAGAGCTAGTACATTTTTGGGAGTAGTATTGAGCACCGAGTTGGGGGAGCATTCAAGGAACTCACAGCCCCCATTGAATCATGTAGCCACCATAGGTAGAAGAGGTTCATACTTTTTAGATAAATCCTTTTCAGACTAGACTAGTGGATCCATAGGCAGTTCAGGTCCTATACCTTTGGCCGAGAATAGGATGGTCTGGCAGCGTGAGGTCGATCGTTGTATCATCACTATAGCTCTTATGTGATGGTTGTCGGTTAGAGAAACTCCCACAACAAGTATTGTATTTTTATATACATCAGTTCATTTGTATTTTTATATGCATCTAAGGCTTATTGTATCTTTGTATACATACAGAGTTTATAGCAATTTTTAAATAGCTTTTCTTTATATTGCACTTGTTTTAAACTGCTTTATAATGAAATGAGTT